AAGCCTCTCCCTTTACCTATCTATACAATATGTCGAAAAACAATAAAAACCTGCACAGTGCAGCTACAAAAAGAATGACTTCTAACAGGAACATCGAAAAAAACGGCACCATTTTTTTGGAAACTGGATAAAATGTGCTCTTTACTACAGGAATGTAGCTACGGTAGCTATTGCTATCAGTAAAATAGTGCCGTTCAGGAAAATCCCCCTCAAAACATCAGAAACATCATAAAACTACAATCGAAATCGGCAGTATTTGTTAGAGGCCAGTAAGTATTAAAAACTGTCAGGCTGTTGCACAAAGAGCCATTTAAAATGAAGTGGTAGGTATTTCTCGTCTGGAGCACTTTCTGTTGAACGTTGTTTGACATTCCTGTCAAATGAGAACATTTTTATATAAAAAAAATAGTTTTAATTTTACCATGTAATACCAATACATGTATGACTAAAAATAGACACTATGTACTGTATTAAAACCGTTTAGCCAATGCATAAAGGAGCCATTTAAACTGAATACGTACGTCTTTCTCATCTAAAACCTTGTGTTATTTGTTTCATAGAAAAAAATATTATTTAGAATTTTCAGTTAAAATATGATTACCTTGCATGATCCTATATAACGATATACCAAATAGATATACATAATACTAAGAATAGATTTTGCAGGTAAATATTTTGTTTTAAAACAATTGCGTTTATTCACTACATGAAAATATCAGAAGTAACACCTGCTTTTGAAAAACGTAAGACGAACAACAATATACAATACACTACATAGAAAACTAAAGAATGAGGTACACGAGCCCTACCAAAAACTGGGGTGATCTTAGGATCGAAAAGAGTATGCAGATTCTGCTCCACATATGGCACCCGTTATGTTTTTCATATAAGTACAAACCTGGTGATAAGTCTAATGCGGTAAGTCGAAATAGCAATATTTTATATCTGAGAAGGCATTAGTTTAAAACAAGAGATATTTATCAATTTCCTGCCAATGCTTATGATCTGTCAACATAATTGAACTGTCGTAAAACCGCAGGTTTCACAAATGCAGCAGGTAATGTGGACTTTCCTGGATCACCTAATGTGTTCATCTTTTTTTTTAATCAGTGTAATTTGTGTTTTTTTTTTTTGTATCTTGTTTGCCTTTTTGCAAAAGGGTGTCTGTCCTTCGAATTTTATTTGGATTTCCCATTTCCATTTTAGTATTTAGAATTTTCAATTAATCTAATTTCCTTGCATGATCCCATATAACGATATTTTTAATTGATGTATACAATACTAAGAATAGATTGTGTGGGTAAATATTTAGTTTTATAACTATTGCGTTTATACACCACATGAAAAGATCAGAAATAACACAAAAGATGCTCTAACAATTGATAAGTGTTTTATTTTAAATAAACAACCTGAAAATATCAAAAGGATTGTACATGCATTATACAAGCATGACTTACGGACGTATTTATTTTTTATTTACTTTTTTCACTATTTAATGTTAGACTCCTAAGGTTTTGCCATCAATAGTATTTCCGATAAACTGTACTTTCATTATATGATCTGCGTCTGATAGAAATCGACCATGTGCAAATGAACATCAATTCATCTGTTAACTTATTTCGGGTTGAAATAAATCTATGCAAAGTCTAAATCTAAAACCTTTTCAAAATTGAGTTGTTATAAGAACCCTACAAAACAGACCAAAATTCATCTTTTATCTCGTTTTAATGTTCCAAAATCAATCCAAGTCTTATACATGTACATGTATACGTGCACTTGCATAAGATTGATTTCTATCCTACGCAGCTCATATCATATAAGCTACCAGAATTAAACACTTTTCTAAAAATAGATAAAATGCCTTTTTTTGAAATACAAAATGATTAAGTCGTACTTACCTGCATTATAGTTCTCTCATTAAGTCTGCATTAATATACATAGCATTTCTTAATAATTTATAGTATATCATGTCCTGATATAACCAGGATTTTCTTTCTGATAAATACATGTCCAGAATAAATCTTAATTTTTCCTGACACTATCTTATAATATGAAACAATTCATTATGATTAATTGTGTCAAAATATATCCTTCTTTATGTATGTAGCTGTTTAAAAATATGCAAAAGAAGCAGAAGTCTAATGCAAAAGTATAAATCAAAAGTATGACAAAAAATATTCAATGTTGTCTTTCGCTTTTCCAGTAATTGAATTTAAACAATTAAATGAACTTTTTCAGTTTAAATTCTGATGGGTTAGCTTTTTTTAAATAGAAAATAAATAAATCTTCAATTTTCAAAACAGTGTCAAAAGGGGGTAAAGTTTCAAAAATGGTGTTTTTCCTTTCGGGAACAATAAGTAAAGGACACTAAACTTAATATGTTAACCGAACTTACTTTGATAATGGGATGTCAAATATAAAGAATGTTGTTAAATAAAAAAAGACGTATACAAAACATAGAGAATAAATGTTTAAAGATTGGTGCTGTCGCACAAGGTGTAGACAATCAACGAACACACACACAAAAACACACACACAGAGAAAAAACAAACATAGAGGCAGGCAAACTACCCTCATTACCGACGCTGATTCTGCAATATATAACCAACCCATGTCAGAGGGTATGGTGGTAGCCTTTACTTCGCATTGACACTACTACTACAGGTATACAACTGAGGTACCCTTTCTGGTCCTATAATGAATTTGGACGTTCATTACCTTTCTGAAATGTTTTTATGTTAACAAAACTAACTCAGTAGAACTCTTCTGAAACAAAATTATAGATAGAAAGACTTATTTTTAAATAGTTGTTTGCTTTTATCCACTTGAAAGGCGAACAAAACATTTGAAGTTGTCATTTCTTTTTAATAATAATTTACTTTCGTATTACATGTAGTGTGGCCTTTTCGCTCATGTATAAACAGATACAGGCCGTACTTTGTCCTATGATTGTTTACTTTTTATACATTGTGACTTTGGATAGTTGTCTCATTGGCACTCATTCAACATCTTCTTATTTATTATTGAAGAAAACAATGTGAAAAAATTGAACATCCTGTTTTGTATCATATAATCTCATGATTCATCCTAGACATCAATTTCAAAGAAGGAAAATCGTGATAAGTTACAGACATATTCTACTATAAATTCAGACGCAGATTTATGTATAGTTACTCTATTTTGTGTAGATATAAACCAAAGAAGGTGAGCATTGCTGATTAATTGTTTATTTAGATAATTTGCGATTGATATACAATGTATTATTATAGTTTTCAAAGGTTTTATTTCAAATTCAAGAAAGCTTTAATGACATTATAACATGTATGTTGAATAAAATATAATTCATGTTGTATTTGCTGCAAAACCTTCAGCGATGTTACACCTGTCGTAATTTTAATTTCTACTTTTGTACCCTCATGAACAATATACGTTTATTTTTTTCTTTGAGCGCAATATGTCTATACAGGTTCAAAGCAACAGTCTTGTGCGAAAATAAAATACATCTATTAAATTTTAAAGAAAATGTACGAGTTCAAGTTTAGCGTATTTTGTTTATAGGACGTCGCGTATTTTGCCTTTCAATTTATGAAACCGAATATATTTTCCCCTACTGTCACTTCAATAGACGAATTGGATCGTATTAAGACGAGGCCTCGTCATTTTGTTTTAATGAAAAGCAGACAAGATAGGGAGAAAACTAGCTGTGCCTCTTATCTGCAGACTGATTATTGAGAAGGTAATCTTCTTTAAATTCTTTGAAATAATTTAATGTATATTTAAGCTAGTATCATATGAACAGATAGTTGAATGTCCTTCAGCTTCAATTCCAATTTAGTATCTTAACTATGTGTTCCTGTTCTGAATATAAACCACGTACATATCGCCTATAGTTACCCCATACAGTATAACATTGTACTACGACATATGGACGCTATATGATCATGATGATTATCCAATCACTGTCCCAAATGTTCAAACGAATAAATATAACCCAAAATTACAACAACAAAAAAACTATAAATTATTATAAACAAGTCCAAATTGAGCCGATTTTTCATTTGAAATTTGTATAATTGATCGTTTCAACGTTTTTCCGCAGTGTTTCGCATTCTATTTCTGTTTTAAATCCTTATCTTATTTATCAAAAATGTAATTTAATACCGCCGTAGATTGTCTGTTTTGGTGGAATTAAAGCATAAGGTTATGTGGAATATGTGTTCGCTATATGTACAGTGTATACATGTTTTGTCCGCATTTGTGTCTTAAACATTATTTCATTTTTTGGTTCGTATGTTTACCCTTTGAATTTTAAGTTTTGATTCCCCATTTACACATTAAGTTCGGTTTGGAATCGTATAACAGTCATTGATGAAATATAAACTATGTCATTACGAGTGATTACTTTTACTGGTTGTACATGTATCATGATTCTGTTTTTGAAATGCCTTTCTACAAAAAAAAAAAACTGACGGAGTAGTTTTCCCGCACTACTTTATTAAAGATATTAGTTTGAGTTGTTGAATGTTTTCATCCACTGGAACAGTGATAAACTAAATTGAATTTGTCATTTTGTTTAAATCATAATAAACCGTCGTATTATTGTGTCCGTAATTATTTATGTAGACCTTAATGCATACAGAAAGAAACACTCACACAATTGAACGTACTCTGATTGACACAATGTTTAGTTGACCATATCATATCAACAATTTATTCCAACAATTTTAAAAAACGTATTGGAGTACTAGTATTGTAATAGTTTATCTTGTGAACGCAACTCATCTGGGACCATTTGACAGAAAGCTCTCATACTTTGTAGGTTTAATTAGCCATCATGTATAGCTAAACTTTACCGTCATTATAATTTTGACTATCTTACTACAATGACACATTATGACACATGATTTAATGCAAATTGCATGATAGATCTTTTAAACATTTTTTTAGTTTATCATTTCAAAATGAATCAATCAACAATTGTTGGAGCAACATGAATGCTTCTTCTACTCTTTTCATGCGGTAAGTGAACACATTACTTACATTTAAATCTTAGATACATGATTTTTGATTAGTTGTTATTGGCCTTGAACTAGCTGTCATTAACTGCGAGTACTCTCAGATCTGTGTCTTTTTGTTTTTAGGAAGGTATTAGGTGTAATACCACCATTGATTTTCCCCTATTATTCTTTGTTAAATTTGCACTTTTCAAAAAATTGTGCAGAATTTATCTTTGTTTCAAATAAAGAAATACTTGGCATGAGTAAAGTTTTATCCTGTCCAGTACTATAGAAAAAAATTCACATAACATTTTATTGCATATAAGAAAATAACCATCACTGGAAGTTAACCAATCAAATTTCCCCCCTTTTTTAACCTGTGTACAAGCTTTAGTAACCATGTAACCTCAAGTTTCCAAAATATTCTATAGAAACCCTAAATAAAGAAATAATGGTGCTTTGAAATACCCAAGATATATGTTTATGACTCAGAAATGTTTTACTGCAATGAAATGTAGGATCAATTACCTACAACTGTCAAATTCAAGGGAATATTTTTTTAGACCTATTTTCGTATGCAACCGGATGTGACGTACTATGATTTGGTGGTATTACACCTAAAGAAGACTTTTTTGTTGACTAAACTGAATGTGACTTTTTTCCTTTGTAATACTGGTTATTTCAAGCATTCCTGTCAAGTTTTGTCATAATCAGATCAATAGTTTGAGAAAAATCTAGTATAATGTAAGACGACATCTACAGCGATTCGAGCAAAATTTCTTCGAAAAATTCAAACCAAGCCGCATCATGATAGAATATAGTGTGGACCAATAAATGATCAAATATTTATCTCATCTGCCTACAAACAGTTGAATATGATACAAATGATGACTTTAGGATGATAAATACTACTAATGGACCTCTTTGTCTTCCTTATAAGGTCTCTTTTGGTCCATTTATACCTCTCATTTCCTCAAAATTTCTACTTTTTAGGCCATTAATAAAAAATATTGGGGTAACTTTCACTCATTTATGGTAGAAAGGTTATTATAAATGATTAATTGAAGTATTCAAGCTGAATGAACTATCCGTATAAAAGTTTACTGTCTCCAAGGAGGTTTCAATAAGTCCTTACATAAAACTTAAATTTACGCCGCGTTCCAGAGAGGGACATAAAAAACTTCTCTTTTGGTGAATAATTTGTTGTTACTGCTTTAAAAATAATTTCATTTACTTAAAATTATATATTTATTAAAGTATTTCTTAGGAGAAATTTTCTAGTATAGCAGAATATAAGAAATAAGGAGAAAAAGCTCCCCAAGACTCTAAGTATGGCTTGTTCTGTCAACTAATATTCATGATAAAGTCCTATTTCAAGGAAATTTTCTCATAAAATGTATTTTGGAGACTCAATCCACTCAGAATATTTCACTATTTGTAATATTTCACTTAAATAGCAAGAAATTTTAACACATGAGAGTACTCACAAAGTCAAAGGTGCATGTACAGCTTCCCATATTAGGTGTAATACCACCATTGATTTTCCCCCATTATTCTTTGTTAAATTTGCACTTTTCAAAATATTGTGCAGAATTTATCTTTGTTTCAAATAAAGAAATACTTGGCATGAGTAAAGTTTTATCCTGTCCAGTACTATAGAAAAAAATTCACATAACATTTCATTGCATATAAGAAAACAACCATCACTGGAAGTTAACCAATCAAATTTTCCCCCTTTTTTAACCTGTGTACAAGCTTTAGTAACCATGTAACCTCAAGTTTCCAAAATATTCTATAGAAACCCCAAATAAAGAAATAATGGTGCTTTGAAATACCCAAGATATATGTTTATGACTCAGAAATGTTTTACTGCAATGAAATGTAGGATCAATTACCTACAACTGTCAAATTCAAGGGAATATTTTTTTTAGACCTATTTTCGTATGCAACCGGATGTGACGTACTATGATTTGGTGGTATTACACCTATAAATACCCTGCCACATCTGGTCTGTGTTTTTTGGATATTTTGTTTTGTTTTATCGACCTGACGAATTAGCCCTTTTTAATTGAGTTTTATAGCTTGTTCTTATATTGCAACGTAACACCACTGTCCCAGGTTAAGGAGAGGGTTGGCTCCTTCAAACATGTTTAACACCGTCACATTCGATATGTGCCTGTCCTAAAAAAGGAGTCCGTAATTGAGTGGTTGTTGTTAATTGCTGTTTATCATATTTGTTTTTTGTTTGTTGTTTTGTTGTTTGTTTTTGTGTTGAAGGTTTGGCGCCTTCAAACATGTTTAACCCCGCGTTATTCTATATGTGCCTGTCCCAAGTAAGGCGCCTGTAATTACTTTATTATATGTATTGATTTTAGCGAATATGTTTTGTATGTGTATATCTTAACAATCACACACATATAAAGACAAAATTGGGATTCATTTACAAATCCCTGACGGATTAACAGTACATGTAATTGATTATACAAAACAACATAAATATTTACCTCCAACATTTAACACCTAATGAATAGATTGCAAATTTAGATTCCACCAATTTGAATTGAAAGAACAATGAACCAAATTATAGTTATGGTTTAACTGTAACAAACGTTTGTCTGGAGACTTTTTTTTATGAAAGCAACTGATGCATCTTTCAAAAAACTTTTTTCAGTACTTGAAATGCATGGACAAGAACCAAAACCCCTAAACAGAATAAGAAGACAAAGCTGTACACAATGTTGTAGATTATTTGGAGAACGTTGCCCGATTTGCCCTTGTTTGCCATGGGGAATACCAGGATTTGTAAGGTCAGTATAAATAATTAGTCGACATGACATTTATGTGACTCTTTTATGATAATATCAAAATGAATGTATTAAATCTAAGTGGGTTACAACTTCTAATTACACCAGCATCATGTCCGGACGAGAATAATCTTTCGAATTTGATTAAGATTTTAATATCTAAATGTTATCATGTGCCTTTCATTAATAAATCGGTCTTGAATCAACCATTTCTTTAATATTTGAATAATTGAGTGCATTTAAGGCATGTTCTTAATTATTATTAACCAGCTAAGATAATTTTCTACCAGTTATATGTATGAACGTTTGAATTCATTAAACATATCTGCATCGAAAGGGTTGATATTATCGGAATCAAAAAAATGAAAAAATCGTTTTGTATAACTTCCATGGTCAATAAAAACCCCTTAATCAAAGGACAAACGACATGATTAAAGGCAAAGAATGTATAGACAAAGAGTAAACCCTTAAATTTACATATAAACACATAGAACATTTAATCTTATTTGATAACTTTTGGATTAGACCCCCTCCCCCCTCGCAACCCTCCCCGAGAAAGTCATGAAAGTATGCAGTTTCTATCACGAATGAAACATCGATAGTGTTTAACATTGTCATGTGATTCGAATTCGGCGGAGTCACGACGAGAAAAAAATACGAGGTTGTAACATCACCGACATAAACAGAAATTTGACATATGAGGAAAGATATTTCGTAAAGATCAAGCAACATTTGCTGGCGATCATAACTCTTTTGAAGTAACAATATTAATTCATCGTCATAAGAAGTTTCACGTTGTTCATTAACCTTTTAGCAGCACCACCTTTATTAAAAACATTTCTTGTTGAATTGTGCGATGAACAACTTTTATGCAATTGCAGCTTGAATACTTTAATATATCGTTGCAAAGATAACATTTAATAGTATTGTGCCCAATGTCCAAAAAGTCCTCTAGTAAACGAGTTTAAGTTAACGGATAACACACTTTTTTTTTTTGGCAAATTATAGGAAAATCATTATATTTTACAATCATTATTGTCGTCGTAAGTTCCCATGGTCACCATTTTCTAAATCTCGTGTTTTTACAGGGTACCCCCAGATACCGTATTGTACGTGGAATCTTTAACAAGAAATAAAAATTATTACGCTCTTTGTTGGTGGTTTAAATAGTACTTATGATATAGTTTATACATTAAATATATCTTATAACAAATGCGGAAAGTATTTAAGTGATTTTAGTATAAATATTTCAGCATTTTAGTAAGACTAAAATCTTACCCGAAATTTACCACATTTTCATCGAAATCAAATTATAACGTGTATCATAACGATATTTTTTACTCTGATTCAAGCAATAAGACACGGTGCATGTGTGTGCCAAATTTCATGTGTGAAATGAAAGTCGTTTGGAAGAAATTAGCAATAATAAACACAAATTAAGTCAACATTTTGACATTGATTAAACACGGATTATCCCGTGACATTCATCAATTTGTTGCTTACACTGTTAGGTCATTAACAAGGACAGTGGTCACTCAATACATTTCTCATTTTTACTTGTTGTGTGTTTGATTTATTTGTTTTGAATAGCCAGCTAACTTTGTAAATTGTTATTTTCTTCTCAGGAATATGTTTTGTGTCTGGTTTTCAATACTTTAAACTTTTTATTGAATAGATTTTTTTGTTATAATTGTAGTATAAGGATCAAATCGACCGGTTTCGTTTCACACCCGGAATATGGCACATCAAGCCTATGTTATGTTATGTGTGAACGACAACAAAAATGTATCACCGTTCGTACTTTAAATTATACTCCAGCAGACACAACTGCAATAGTTTCAAAGCTGAATTGGCAATAGGTTTGTCTGAGCAAACCACTGAACATGCTGAAGCCAATGACCTATATGTGCGAAGGTGACAGCAGGAAATTTTTTTTCCCGATGGACCATTATTTTTTTTCATTTGTTGCTACGCATGCTAATTTTTTCCCGCGGTTTTGCTGCACGAAAATTTATTTTCACTTTCGTACACATTTATATCCTCAACTTTTCTGTATTTCATATTGCAGAGTTTTCATTTTCATTGCCACCCGGTCATTTGTTTTCAGTTCATACCAGGCCAAATTATTGATTTTCAAAATCCTCCTCCCTTCCCTCTTTTCGAAATCAAATGGTCGTTCTCTTACTGAAAGCTAATGAAAGGACGTCATCAATAAATAGTCTGAGAAAAGTATGATCATAAACTAAATTACCGTAAAAACTAGGATTCTACTGGTACAGCATTTTTACTAACTGACCGAATTATGTCGAAATTCTTAGAGAAAAGGATTATACATTCTTTTTATGCCTGTCCTAAGTCACGATCGAGTCGGTATTTGAGTGGTTGTCGTTGGTTCATGTCTGGTGTTTTTTTTTGTAAATTGTTTCGTTATAAATTAGGCCGTTGGTTTTCTCAAATGAATTGTTTTTATAGCCGACTATACGGTATGTGTTTTTCTCATTGTTGAAGGCCGTACGGTTGCCTATAACTGCTTATTTCCACATCTCCTTATTTTTATATTATTCAAGTATTACATAAAATTAACCTTTATTTATCAATTTTCCAAGTAAATGAGGAAATGTCAGATGAACTCTGCCACAAAGACATGTACACTTTGCTACCATTCCGTACACCAAAAACATTTGACCCACTACTGATAGTATCTGAGATAAGGACTTGACCACTGAAACTTAACCTTGTTCACTGATCCATGAAAAGAGGTCGAGGTTAGGTAAACCATGAATGACCGACATGTAGACCTTGAAAGGATACCATATATTAGTAACCAAATATAGTTATCCTAGAACTCATGATAAAAGAGATGCGCAGGAAACCAAAGGGACATTCAGACTCACAAGTGAGACATTCAAATGACGAAAAAAAGCTATCCAGTTTTTTATCAGTCACTAAACCATAAAAATAAGGTCAAGAACAATGATTTTATGACAGACAGAAACTTTGCAACACAATGTATCTATATACAAAGTATGAATCATCCGATTCATCTAACCTCCGAAATAAAAAGATATACAAATAGTTTACGGTACTGCTGCCTCCATCATCAGACTGTTTGCTGTATGCCTTGCATTCTGCAAAATGGCTCGAATGCGATTTAAACAGGTACAACTGAAATTAGCTCTCTAACCTAAACCTGGTCGGTGTGCTTTCTACTAAACAGTAGATAATGAAACGTAATAACTATTGCTAGCTTCGGCAATTTTTCTATGGGGTTTCAGTCTCATTAAAATTATGATCTATGTTAACTTGCGTGCTCATATATATAAGCTCATATGAGGATATCGAAATCAGAGATCTATATTTTAATTAGATTGATGTTGTTTACAACCCTGTTTTTGTAGATAATCTTTGACTTCATGTCAATTGTAGGCCAATTTAAGCTCAATAGGGCATATATGTGTGTACGATGTAGTTATTAACCTGTTTCTAATTGTCATTTTGTTTTCATATAAACTTTAACAAAACCCTTCCCCTTTTTCACCGTTTGCAGTCTTTCTTATTTCTATAAAGCAAAGATATACTCAGACCTGATAATTCAATTCATTCTGCGTAAATATTACACCAGTTTTGGTACTAAGTACAATTGTATGTGCTTCCACACTCACCAATATAAAATTGGCTATTTACCGAGAAAATCATTACGAACACCTATCAAAAGACGAAAAAATAACATTTTGGTAGGGCAACTTTAAAATGTTAATATCTAAAAAACATCTCTAGAGATCACTTGTATCGAAATCTCATGTAAAAATTCCGAATTTGGTAATTTTAATAGGTCAATGTCACTGTTATTTAACAGCTGAATGAAAATTGTAAATGTGCACCCTATAAGTAAAAATGTCAATCTCGAACCATATTTTGCAACATAAATAATAAATTATTCCTAAATATAGAAACTATAGTTATAATTCTTTGAATTCTTTGAATTTATTTTCCTATAAACGCATATATGTAGGGGCAGCCAGCTGTCTAAACCTGACTCTGCGTTTTCCTTGAAGTTTTAGTTTTGACCTTTGACCCAAATTTCAGAAAATTGTGACCACTGTAGACAACGACGACATCGATATTTCGATGAGGCTTGTTCTCCTCTTTCCAATGATATCAAATACAGCCGTGTGTTATTCCGTTAACCCAAATCGATTAAATCCGTTGACTGGGCACACTACTATTAATAATGTTCACATTCTTTCAAAACTGCGAAGTGGTACATTGACACTGAATGTTTGAGTTGGTAGTTTGTCTGATATGCAAAGAGACTGCGTTTATGAGTTTATTGTAACACAATCTAATTAAAATTAATCTCTGCACTCGCTCATTTTTCTATGCTGGTTCGATGCGGGGGAGCTCATATGCAGCGACCAGGCATACAAGCATGAGCACGTGCGGAAATTTAGTTTTAATAAGATTGGTTGTAACATGTAATAATTTGAGAACGCTTTTCATTGTTATTGGTATGTTCAGCATACAGAACAATTAGAAATAATTTTTGCCTCGTTATTATTATTCTTCGTCGAAATCATTTGTTTGTTGAAATCTACTTCTAGAGCGCTTACAATTCAGCCCTGTAAATATTTGAATAATGCATGGAAAAGCTAGATCTGATATTATTGTCTAGTTATAGTATTATTGCATTGTTCTCTGCTATCAGTCTTGTGTCACATTATGTATTGCCATAGCATTTCAATTATTTCTTTTCTTGTATTGATAAGATATCGTGCAACATTGAAGATGTTCTTGTATATAAACAATCTATTCAGGAGTACAGCTGCCGATGTCAGATTTCATTGATTTGAATTATATTTCAATCAAAAATTGTTCCTCTTTTTTGCGGTCGTTCTATCCAAAATGACGGAACCCTCTCTTGCTACTTTCAGTTATGTTTTAGATCTATCTATTCTGCACGAACTTCTATGTTACTTGTGTTATTCCATAAGTCGGGATAGGAACTCGAAGAGCTGTTCAACCAATCTTATAAAAGCTAGTCACATGTTTATGTGTCTTTGGATTATCTGAATCATTCGCAAATTTAATGTTGACCTCGGGTCTTTCATAGTCTTTGTCTGAATAAATTTAAAACATTTGTCTAGACTCAGGACGAATGAAATCTTGACATATTATATAGACATCTGTGTATTGTTTAAGACCGTAAGATAATCTGTACATGTCTTTCGATTTATAGTTCTTGTCGGTTGTCGTCTCATTGCCGTATACTTCTGATCAAGATTAAAATCTAGAGTGTTAAGATGTTAAAACAACCTTACCTAACCCTTTCCATATTCATGTGAATGTCTTAAGTATGAAACCTAGAAAGTTATGCTGCCAGTGGCAGATCTGTAATATATGGTGGTTTATGGTAGGTTATTTGGTCCACATCTCCATAGGGGAGTAGCACAGTACTTTACGAGAACCATTACATCAAAAAGCTCAATTTGGTCTTTAACCACTGAATGAGACAGATCAACTATAAACAAAATAATGTTGTAAGCACTGTACTCAAGATTCATGAAGATGAAAAACCTGTAATACATTGATTTGAATTGCATCTCAAGAACACTTCCAAAACAGCATATTAAGTTGCAAAAGAATTAAAATATGCTTGTAAATACGATTGTATATACCAAACGTGTATTTTGCTTTATCGATCTAATTCCTGTCCGATCCCCTAGATATCAGCGAGTTCATTTAACATAAGTATATTTGTGTCAGGATATTGCAATACGATAAATAGTATGTTAAATACATCGTAAGAAGTACACATTAAATTGTTAAGGGGAATAATGGTTAATGTTAATAAACAGTTGTGTGAATCTAACATCACCGAATAACAACTGAATGACACACAAAGCCGTATTGTATAATTCCATACGTAAATTCATAACAAGCAAATCAGAGAGAAAGTTTAAACGTTGTATTGTTTTGAACGTTAATATTAGATGAAAAGAGCAGGCATACTACGAGAACCATACAAGAGGGACGAAAGATACCAGAGGGACAGTCAAACTCATAGATCGAAAACAAACTGACAACGCCATGGCCAAAAATAAAAAGACAAACAGACAAATAATAGTACAGATGACACAACATAGAAAACTAAAGACTAAGCAACACGAACCTCACCAAAAACTGGGGGTGATCTCAGGTGCTCCGGAAGGGTAAGCAGATCCTGCTCCATATGTGGCACCCGTCGTGTTGATTATGCAATTACAAATCCGGTAAAGAGTCTAATTCGGTAGGTCACATTCGTGAAAAGGGAAGGGTATTGTAGTTACGACATAAGGAACATATCCGATATCATCTGTGAAACGGTTTTTTCATAACGGTCAACCAACTCGTGATGGCGTCCGTAAAATTTACGATGGGATGATTTCAACTTCACCATTTGGAACTCTTGGTTTAATAGCTTCCTTGTGAGCAGTAATCCTCTATGAAGGAAATCATGATAGGAAATACAAGCCTGGGAATATCGTATCAATTGGGAGATATATGCTCCGTATGCAGACGCTGCTGGAATGTTGCTACATAGAAATGGCAAGTTCACAATTGGGAAGCTGAAATCATCTTTTTTGTCGTAAAGTTTTGTTTTCAACCGACCCTCATTGGCAATTTCTAGATGTAAGTCAAGATATAAGGCAGACTTAACTGTATCTGTAGTATCCTTTATTTCTAGTTCGATGGGATAGACATAGTCACCAAATTTTGTATTATTTAGTGAGAGAACATCATCTATAAAGCGGAACGTAAAGTTAAAGGATATTGCTAACTTTTTATCTTTCTTCCTAAGAAGTTCCTGTATGAAGTCAGCCTCATAATAATAAAGAAACAAGTCGGCAAGAAGAGGGGCACAATTGGTTCCCATTGGAATTCCGACAGTCTGTTGAAAAACGCGTCCTTCAAACGTAACAAATATGTTGTCAATCAAGAAATCAAGCATCTTGATAATGTCAGTTTCAGAGAATGTTTTGTTTGAATCAGAGTGATTCTTTACAACGTAGGATATATCCCTCCCCAAGACAAGATACTTGTATCTACGTTCGCCACTCTTTTTAATGAAACAAAGAAAAAAAAGACCGTATTGTGACCTATAATGGTTTACTTTTATAAATTTTGACTTGGATGGAGAGTTGTCTCATTGGCACTCATACCACATCTTCTTATATCTACTAACTAATACCAATTCTTTCAATTTGTCTTTTAGTTTGGAATGGGGAATACTTGTGTAAAGTGTAGAAAAGTCAAATGTTTTAATACTATTGCAAGATGAGAGAGTCTTAGATTGTATGTACTCTAAAAGATCTTTGGAATTTTTTAGTATCCACATCTGATTCACGCCACCTCTAGAATAGGCAGTTTCACAATAACTTTGGAGCCCGGCTTTGATTGCTGATAAAATAGATGTTAATAATTTAGAAAGAGGTTTCGTGGAGCACTTGGAAGACCCAGCAATATACCGTTGTTTGTAAGGACACTTATGTAGTTTAGGTATCCAATACAGTGATGGAAGATCTAGTTCTTCATCTTAGGTTGAAATTCCAAAGGAACATAGAACAGACCTATGATTATCCAGGATTTCCTCTTTGGTAAGTGTCGTGAGGGTAATATCTAAAATGCTAATATCATGTACATGTAAGTGAAACAACTCCGTCAAAAAACTTCAACTTATTCTTTTCTGGTCATGCACTAGTATGATACATACACGAATCTGCTTACAACATGTATAACTTTTAAGTGTATTCCGAATAATAAGCACTTGATATTAAGGGAAATTGTTTCCAAATATAATTTGTAGAATAGTTATATATATTCTAACTAATCTTTTTATATTTTTTTTCCAGAAAATGATCTTGCAGGATCCTGATATTAAAGTTTAACAAATTAAACTATTTGACAACAAATCTCGCTTTTTTCAACAATTTATTTGCTTTACCGAACCATATACATGATTAACGCGTAAAAAAAAAAACATATACATACAAATATATAAAAGGAAGGATAAATTAATGTTGAAGGTTTTTGGGAGGGAGGGGGATAATTGAAAAACAAGACTTTTATTTCCTCAGCATTAAGTTACTCTCTTCTAGAATGCATATGGGTTAGTACCAAGAGACAGACAGACATCAAACATCACACAAAAACTAAAAATCATCAATACAATAAAGATTCAAACATAAGTTTGGAACGAAAGACAAGAAAAGGTATCTATTCTTAATGACACCGACATAATGCGAATAAAAGGTCATCTCATTAAAACATTTCATATTTGAGCAAGAGTTGCATTGTCGCAGTCATAACCAGAATCCTTGAGTGAAGAACATGAAGAGGTCAAGAGTTTGTGGAAAGTTCGACCTTTGATTGGAATGTTCTTTGATAACATATTAACCATAGAAAAAGAAATATTATCAAATATGGTATGTTCTGAAGTACATTTTATTCAAGAAGAAAAACATTTGTTTAAATTGCAAGTTTCACAGAGGCTACCACAGATCTGCCACTAAAAACCTAATTAAGTACTTTAACACTTCTTTTAACTTTTCAATGGAACAACAAAAAACATAAAGGACCATATAATAACAGGAATCAATAAAAACACAGAACAATAGAACAGACCTCATCAACCACCGACACTCGACTCCTCTGGAAACAAAAAAACGAAACGTTCAAACAAACAGCACATGGTTCAGAAAAAAAAATCTGTCTTTGTAAAGGCTCAACATGTGGTGTGGTTAAACCAGTTTAACGTGCACACAATCCAACTTTGCCTTTCTAAACAATATAACGTAGAACTATAACACACACACACACACAAAAACGCACAATGCAGCAAGAAAGGAAAAAAAAGACACATAACTTGAATAGATTTGTCAAAATATGCTCGCACTACAGGAGGATAGCTATTGCTGTTAGTTGAATACTTCCGCTCAAGATATTTTTTAGAACAATCAGACACAACACTTTCATTAAATATTCGATTGCAAAAGGCAGTATTTGTGAAAAGCCAGTATGTAAATTAAGTCGCCAGGCCATCGACAAAACTAAACTACTATGGATATAATATCTGTTACACCTAGTACACATTTCACGACCAAATAGAGAATTCGTAGGATGGAAAAGTTAAAATCGTCTCTTTTGTCGTATTTTTTAGTTTAAAGTTGTTCTTTTAGTACTCATACATCTATTTATTAAAATGGACAATATTTACTATTTAAATTAGCTTCATTAATTTTGAATAGGAAGATGTGGTATCCAAGTCACAATATATAAAATGTAAACAATTATAGTTCAAAGTACGACCTGCAACACGGAGCCTTGACTCACACCGAACAACAAGCTACAAATGTATAAAGAGCCCCAAAATGACTAGACAAGTGTAAAACAATTCAAACAAGAAAACCAACGGTCTAATCTATATAAGAAACGAGAAACGATAACCACTTATGAACCACACCAACAAACGACAACCACTGACCAGCAGGCTCCTGACTAAGTACATTCAGCATAGTAATGATCTCGTGACTATCAACAGTAAGTAAATCATCACGGTATTAGGTATTATTGTGAAAGATACCAATTAATATGTCAAAAGTTGTAATTTTTCGTTTTTGATTTTTTTGTTTTTGGTCACAAAATAAGATTTACAATAGTTAAGAAAGAGGTCTGCAATTAGAGGTGCTTAGTTAGTTCCAACGTGAAATTCGATAAGTTGATGATTTGATGTATTAGTCATGTTTGCTCGTGGCCCGTGTCAATGATTTGTATATCTGTTATGACTGACAAAAGACCTGTTTTTATTAAACAAAAAAACAATTTAATAAGGTTACCAAGTTAATTTTAATCCAATTATGTGGAATGGTAGTTAATGAGGTGGAACAATCATAAGTTAACTACATGATTAATAAAAATAAGTTTTTCAAAGACATCACAAAACTTTGAGGCCAGTCTTTTGATTGAGGAATACACAATAAAATCAGTTCAGCAAAAAAACACGTTTAACTTGATTTTATAGTTTGTTACAAACAAAATAAACACAGTTAAGAGTAAAGAAATATCAAATTTTACCATTTCAAACAAATTGTCTTCAGCTACATAGTACTGAAAGCAAGCTAAAAGTAAACAACACGTGAAACAAAAATCATGTCTTCTTTCACTACTATTACATCGGTCGGCAGCTGTACCTCAGAGTAGAAACGTTATCATATAAAAACAGTGCCAAAATTCTTGTGGAACGCTATAAAAAAAAAATGTACCAAATTGCAATTGAATCAAATGTAACGTCATCGATATGAAAACTCCTTTGTAGGTAATTTTTGATTTTTGGTGTTTGTGTTTGTTTTTATAATTGAATTATTAAAAGTGACATCAAAATTAATATATATTTTAGACTAACAAAAGATAACAATGTTATCCTAGTTTTGTTTTCTGGCTGTTTTGCCAGATTATATTCAATATTCAGATAGCCTGCAGTGAATTCAATACTGTAAGACAAATCGCTTAAAATCATTTCAGGTTTGTTCAGTAACTTTTTAGACAATTGCCCGGCTTTTACTATACTTTTTTTTGTCTTTTTCAAATTAAACATGTAGCTCTCATCTTTTTTAATAAAGATTTTCAAATACTGTGGGCTCAAGCATCACTGAAGAGACATTTATTGTGGAAATGCGCATCTGGTGCAGAAAAATTGGTACCGTTTATGTTATTTAGTATGTTGTTAATAACAACCACTGAACAGTTTTAACATAGACTGATCAGATCTTAATTGACTGCAAGCGAATGGTGTGAACAGTATTGTATTCACCCCAGTGGAAGTCTGAAAATTGACTGAAAAACTGATAATGATTTAATAATTTATTGTTCATTAAAAAATAAGAAGATTTGGTATGATTGCCAATGAGACAACTATCCAACAGAAACCAAATGACAAAGACGTTTACAACTATAGGTCACCGTATTGTATTTAAAGAGTTGTCCAGATAAAAATTACAGTTTGAGACTAGCATTTGTTTGCTGATGTATATAAGGAGATTAATATGTTGGTATATCAAATTGGTGAGTGTTTGGTGATTACAAATTGCCACTGTACTGGTTTAAATGTATATTACTCATCAATTGACAGTTAGTTTTCTCGGTGCTCTTTTCATGTTTTGATGCAAAGGAGGACCTTTGCTGAATTTGGCAAATAGTTTCTACGAATTCATACATCCTTGACTTTAAGATGTTGAACTCAGCTGAATTTTGTCAATAGTTTCGACCTATTCTACATCCCTATCATTTTGATGTACGAATGAATAAGTAATAACCTAATGTTCCAATTCAATAAGTCAAACATCCCTGGCTTGTAGATGTTAGAGTTGGAAATTTTATACAAAATCACTCTGACTCAAACAAAAAATTCTCTGAAACTGACATTATCAAACCGCTTGATTTTTTTGATTGACAACATATTTGTTACGTTTGGAGGACGTGTTATCAGCAAACAATCGCCATTCTCAAAGGAAACAAACGTAATGTGCTCCTCTTTGCACAGACGTGTTACTATATTCATATCAAGCTTACTTCATACAGGAGTTTCTTAGGAAGAATGAAAATCCAACGAACCTGAAATAAAGGATACAACAGGTATAGTCAAGTCCGCCTCATATTTTGACTTACTTACATCTAAAGATTAACAATTAGGGTCGGTTGAGAACAATACTTTACGAAAAAAAAGATTATTTCAGCTTCCCAATTTCTATGCAACATTCAAGCAGCGTCTGCATATAAAGTATAGATTTCCCAGTTGTGCTTTGTCTATAGAGTTTCTTTATGCCATTTTCTTTGTCTTTGTTGACATAGTTGGGTTTTTTTTATAGTGATTAAGATTATAACACAATGTCGACTACTTTTCCCCAGTTTTTTACATTATTTCCTATTGTGTCTGTTTGTTTTACTCACATATTGTTTTGTTGTCACTATAATGGAATTCTATGCGACTGTCATACAAGTAAGAGGTTTAGCTAGCTTTAAAACCAGGTTTAATTCACCATTTTCGGCATAGGCAAATGCCTGTAACAATTCAGGAATATGACTGTTGTTTCCATTCGTTTGATGTGTTTGAGCTTTTAATTTTGCCATTTGTTAAGGGACTTTCCGTTTTGAATTTTCCTTGGAGTTTGGCATTTTTGTTATTTTACTCTTTGGTACGATATTCCAGGGCTTGTGTTTCCCATCATGATTTCCTCTATAGTTATGGTATATCTGTTACAGCCCTTGGATGGTGTAAACTTCCCAAAAAAAAAACGTGTATGGTGTAATGGTGTATTTCATATGGTGCAATGGTAGAAGGTGTATGGTGCTATGGTGTATGGTGTAAGGGGGATGGTGTAATGGTGTAACGTGCGATCGGTAATGGTGTGAATGAATGGTGTACGACATTTAAAACTATGCAAAATATTGATAAGAACTGATTTTTTATTTTTTACATTTATTTAAAATATTGTGATCAAAATTCGTTTTTAAAAATAAATTAATAATTTTGTAGACGCACGCTTTCTTTGAAATTAAATTGCATTATTATGGTATAATGTGTAAGGTGTATGGTGCAAAGGTGTAAGGTGTATGGTGTAATGGCACAGGGTGAATTGTGTAATGGTGTATGGTGTTAGTGGGAAGTTTACACCACCCAAGGACTGTAACAGATGACGACTTATATCTTCCAATCGTCGTAACCACAATGCAATCCTCCTCTTCCGCGAATGTTACCTACCGCATTAGACTAATCATTGGTTTTGTACGTACATTAGCAACCAGAGGGGTGCCCCATGTGGAGCAGGATCTGCTTACCCTTTCGGACAACCTTATATCATCACCCGGTTTTTGGTTGGATTCATGATGCTCAGCTTTTAGTATTTTATGTTCTGTTTTGTATACTGTTGTTGGTCTTTTGGTCTTTTTCTTTTTTTGCCATGACGTTGTCCAGAAAAGCGTATGGACGCACGAAAATAATAACGCGTTATTCTAATCATTGCATACATATTGGCCCATATTGCAGTTTATGTCGACTAGATTAATTGTTGACTAGCTCGCCAAAATATGCACAATGTTTTCGTATTCAGGTTGTCAGGAAACAGCAACTTATCCTATATGTAAAACGACCCTTTGCAAGAGTATTTCAACCCGAGATTACCATTTTCAATCGTGCCTAAAGCATCCTCGGGATCATTGATCAACATTTTTGCACTCGGCTTGACGACATTTCTGGTCGAAATCAATGAAATGCTGAATTTAAAGCAAAACAACAACACATGTAAAAAAGTTCAAGTTGTACTATATTGTATTGTTTATTTGCGTAATTCTCTGTCCGTAATGTTGTACTGTATTTATGCCATGTAATGATGTCATTTTAGTGTTATATTTAACATTGCCATAAAAGTGCGAGGTTTGGCTAGCCACAAAACCGGGTTCAACCCACCATTTTTTCTTAAAATGTCCTGCACCAAGTCAGGAAAATGGCCATTGTAATATTTTAGTTCGTTTATGTGTGTGTTGCCTTTTAGTGTTGTGTTTCTGTTGTGTCGTTGTTCTCCTCTTATATTTGATGTGTTTCCCTAAGTTTTAGTTTGTAACACGGATTTGTTTTTTCTCAATCGATTTATGAATTTCGAATAGCAGTATACTACTGTTGCCTTTATTCAAGATAAGACTTAAGACTCCGAAAAAATTACTAGAAATAAAAAAAAACAAATATGAGAAAGAAAATGTTCTTAGTGTGTGTCCACTACAAACACTTCTTAATTATTATAACGAAATACATACTTGTATTTCCTCATGAATTAAGTTGATTCATGTAGACGTAATAAATGAATTAAGAAATAATTAGGATACCAATGTTCAAACTCCGTCATGCAAAGTTAATAAATGAATGAAAATATGATTAGGATACCAGATACCAAGGTTCCAACCCTGTCATGCAAAGTTGATAAATGAATTAAAAAATGATTAGGATACCAATGTTCCAACGCTGTCATGCAAAGTTGATAAATGAATTAAGAAATGATTAGGATACCAAGGTTCCAAATCCGTCATGCAAAGTTAATAAATGAATTAAAAAATGATTAGGATACCAAGGTTCCAACTACGTCATGCAAAGTTGATGAATGAATTAAAAGATAATTAGGATACCAAGGTTCCAACTCCGTCATGCAAAGTTAACAAATGAATTAAAAAATGATTAGGATACCAAGGTTCCAATCCTGTCATGCAAAATTAATAAATGAATTAAAAAATAATTAGGATACCAAGGTTCCAACTCCGTCATGCAAAGTTAATAAATGAATTAAAAAATAATTAGGATACCAAGGTTCCAATCCTGTCATGCAAAGTTGATAAATGAATTAAAAAATGATTAGGATACCAAGGTTCCAATCCCTCATGCAAAGTTGATAAATGAAATAAGAATTGATTAGGATACCAAGGTTCCAACTCCGTCATGCAAAGTTAATAAATAAATTAAAAAATGATTAGGATACCAAGGTTCCAACTCCGTCATGCAAAGTTGATTAATGAATTAAGAAATGATTAGGATACCAAGATTCCAACTCCGTCATGCAAAGTTAATAAATGAATTTAAAAATGATTAGGATACCAAGGTTCCAACTCCGTCATGCAACGTTGATAAATGAATTAAAAAACAATTAGGATACCAAGGATCCAACTCCGTCAAGCAAAGTTGATAAATGATTTAAATAATGATTAGGATACCAAGGTTCAAACCCTGTCATACAAAGTTGACAAATGAATTAAAAAATGATTAGGATACCAAGGTTCCAGATTTGGCGTGCAAAATTGGTCTTATATGAATTAACTATACTTCAAAGGTCCCTTTTGGTTATATAACTAATCACGCATTGAGGTATTTATACTTTCTTAGATTTCAAATGTTTGGTTTTGAGAGGTCGAATAAATCTGAAACAAGAAATTCGCGTTGGACGCACGCAATTATTATTATCGTTAACTATTATTGGGTCAATAAGACTGTTAGTGGACTGTAAGACACCGAGGTTACCATCAGCTCATTAGTCGGTGCTTCAGTACCTACAACATGATTCATAAAATATTAATAAAAAATTATACGTTTATATATTGAGAATGTTAAAAAAAACTAAGGCTTCTTGGCTTTCAAATGGTTTATTTAGAACGTTCCTGATAAAGGTAAATAAAAAAGCGCTTAAGATGCACTAAATTTATAAAGGGTTATTTTGTTCAAGTAAGATAACCTGATAATCTCATGCCCTACATTTTGTTTTCTTCAAAATGACAATAATGTATGGATTTCGGATCGAAATTCAAAATTGATAATTCAACTACACTGTAATAGGAAATTAGTATGATTTTATCTTAGGATAGTCATCATGGCATGGTGGACCGTTATGGAATATGTTTGAAAAAATTTGTATATGTGTATATTCTAAAAAAAAATGTGTGTCTTGTCAAAACATTTTAATCAAACCATGAACTTTTTCATTTAAGGATTTAGTAATGACCTTGTTTGTCATAAAAAAAAAATTAAGTTTCCAGAAACCTCAGTGACTGTACCTAACGTTTGCTGTTGTTGTTATTGTTGTTGTTACTGTTTTAATTGTTGTTTTTTTTAATGCATTAATACTATAATGTATCAGCTAATTGTATTTAATTGATCTTACAGCAAGATCAGACCAAGTACAGGTCTTGTTTAGTGACATTTCTCATTCAAAGGCATTCAATATGAAAAACTAAATGTTTTTAATGATGTCACGTATTTCATTTATAGTGAAATTTAGATTTAATCATTATACCCAATGCCAACAATGACAAGAGTTAGAATAGCACTGTCCGGTGTCGTATCTTCTATTGTGCGCTCTACAACAATTGTTACATCCATTTTTTGACGTAGATCGTCGGCAGTGTTTTTGACAACTGGGTATCTTTACACTGATCGGTGGTTGTGCTTCCACTGCATGTTCTTCCAGAACTGAAAAGTATATTTTTAACATTCATCATTGGCTTTACGAAACACGATTCAATGTCTTTAATAGTATTTTATCTTCATTTTTAAAGAGGTTTATTCTTTACCAGTTTTAACATGCTAACCTCTCTCTCTCTCTCTCTCTCTCTCTCTCTCTCTCTCTCTCTCTCTCTCTGCATTAGCAATAGTTTATTTCTGATAGGGCATTATATTAAAACAAGAGATATTTACGAATTTCCTTGCAATGCTTTTGACCTAAAGACGGATGTGAACTGAAGTAAAACTCCAGGTTTCACAAATACAGCAGTTATTGTGGACTTTCCTGAAGCACCTGGGGGTTTCTTCTAATTATATTTTTGAGGTTCGTGCAACTGGAATTTAAATCAGTTTGAACTTTTATTTGTTTATTTTATTATTTTTAATCTTTGTTTCCTTTTTGTAATTGAGGTATTTGTCCATCGACTTCGAATTGACTTTGATTTCCCATCTCCATTTTCAGATTATCATATTTGTTTCGCAGACCAAAACTAATATTCAAAATGTTCAGTTAAATCATGATTTCGTGGTATGATCTTATCTTACTACATACCTTATTAATGTACATAATACTCAATACAGATTTTTCGAGCAAATGTTTTATCAAAATGCGTCTACTTACCACAAGAAAAGATCAGAAGTAACACAAAAGATGCTCCAAAAATTGATAAGTGTTTCATTTTAAATAGATGACCTGAAAATATGAAAAGAATTGTACATTCATTAACATAAGCATAACTTACGGACGTTTCTTTGTTAGATTTATATCGTACACTAATAAATGATAGATTCATAAGGTTTTGCCGTCAAAATTATTCTCGTTAAGCTGTTGTTTCATTTGTTATAAAAGCCACCTGTAATTTAAACGTTCATATAATAATAGATAAGATACATTGTCAAATACAAAATAATTTAGTCGAACTTACCTTCGATATTTCTACCTACTAAAGTCAGAGTTGAGGTAGGAATTACAAAGCTTTTCGTTATGATTTATAGTAGATTATGTCCTTGAATATTCAGGATTTTCCATCTGACAAATTCACGTCCAGAAATAATTTGTATGTTGTCTAACATCCTATGGTGATATTATGTAATGTATAATGATTAATGGTGTCAAAATGCATCCTTTTATATGCATGTACTGTTTATAAATATGTAAAACATGTAAAGGACGTAGAAGTATGATGTGAAATATTACGCAAAAGTATGACAAAAACAAATTATTCAATGTTGTTGTTTAATTTTTTCCAGGAATTGAAATTAAACAACTAAATGAACTATTTCAGTCTTAATTCTGCTGCGTTAGATTTTTTAAAGAGAACATATACAAACCTTCAATTTAGAAACAATATCAGAAGGGAGTAAGGTACCTACAATGATGTTGTGTCCCTTTCAGAAACAATGAGTAGAGGATAATCAACTAAACCGATCTAACTTTTATAATGGGAAATCAAATATTAAGAATTGTAAAAGACATATAACACCGAAAGAGAATAAATGTTTAAAGATAAGTGCTGTCGAAACCAGTCGTAGGCAATCAACGAACACACACACACACACACACACACACACACACACACACAGAGACAAAACATAGATGAAAACAAACAACTATAATTACCGTCGATGATCCTGCAATCGATTACTAGGCCATGACAAACATGACAAAGGGTATTTGGGTAACCTTTAATTCGCAGAGATACTAGTATTACAGGTATACAACGTATGTACCCTTGCTGGTCCTATACTGAAACTGGACGTTCATTACCTTTCTGAAATGTTGTTTACTTAAACAAAACTAACTCAGTAGAAATTTCTCTGAAACAACGTTATAGATCCTAGACTTAATTCAAATTGTTGTTTTCTTTCATCCATTTGAAAGGAAATAAATTGATAATTGAAAATTCCAGTTGTTATTATATTGTATATTCCTGACATAATATACTTTTGTATTAGTGTGGCCTTGTTTGTGTTAAAACAAATACGTACATATAAAAGGAAACAAGGTCACAAGATTGAACATCCTGTTCTGCATTATAACATGATCATTTGATGTTCAAAAAAGAAAAAAAAGAAATGTCCCGGACACAATGTTCTCAAAAAGAAAATGCTGATCATTTAAAGGAATACTCTTATAAATTCAGACGGAGATCTTGGTAATATCCGTGTCACTTGTCGATGTAGTGATAACGAAGGTAAGAATGTCTACGCAAATTTGTTTATTTAAAAAATTTGCGTTTTATTAACAATGCTTTATTATATTCAAAGATTTCAATTACAAGAAAGCTTTAATAACATTATTACACTTCTTTGGAATAAAATATCAAACATGCTATATCTGCGGCAAACCTTATGTAGAAGTTCTGTAGGATCAGAACTTTAGCGACATTACATCTGTCGTAATGTTAATTTCAACTATTGCAACCTTAAGAAAAGTATGTCTTCATTCTTTCTTTGGGCGCAATATGTCTTGAACCATTTTGATATACAGGTTCGACCTTCTGCTGTTGTCTGTTCTATGGTCGGGTTGTTGTCTCTTTGACACATTCCCCATTTCCATTCTCAATTTTATCAAATCAACATACTTATACTAAAAATGAAATACTTCTATTCTACTGAAAAGTGTCTTGTTAAACGAGTTCAAATTTAACATTTTGTTTAGGACATAACGTATTTTGCATTTCAATTTATAAAACCGAATATAGTTTACACTGCGACATTACACCGGACAAAACGGACCGTCTTTAGACGAAGCCTTGTGATTTGTTTTTTGAAAAGCAGACACCATTATCATAGTTAAATGGAAATTTGCAATTAAAGCAGCACAATAATATTTTTTAAAAAATCAGATAACTCTTTTACACCAACTTTGTTTTGAAATATTCGATGCTCGTATCATCAACGAATTAATTGTATTCTTATTTCGTATCAAAAGATCACAACGGTAATAAAAAAAATACCATTTAAACACGTTTTCTCAATACTTTAAAATCGTGAATGGGTCTTACTATTTATAATTTTGAAATGATATGATAGCAAGAGAATCGAGATATATTTCAATTATAAAGCGGCTAAACAACAAAACGAATATCTTGAAGTAAACATACGGTCTACAAGAGTGAAAAACATTTGTGAATAAATTCAGACATTTGCGAAGTTTTGTACTAAATTCCAAAAATTACACAAACTATAAGATACAATTCGAAATACAACAACCAATGTCAAGATTTCTTTCTCTTAACATACTTTATAATAACAGACTTGATGTTACAAATCTCAATCAACCAGTTTTAATATCGATCGGTGGAAATACTAAAAGTACCTAAAAGAAAAAGAATCTATAAAGCACAATCCCCTAACTTTCAGAGTATAGGCATATTCGGAAACAAAACAACTGACTTATAGTACAATGAAACAATCTCAAACGTTTCCTCCCCTAAGTGGTGATTTATTAGAATTAGTTTGTTCAACGCCAGTTGTCAAAATTTAGCTTGTTTGCAAATGCATTTGCAACACAAAAAATAACTCTTGATTGTTGATTGTTTAATTTTCAGTGGCAACTATATGTCATCTATATTTAGAGCGAACATACAAATTGCAATTAATTAGTTTTGTACAGTTAAATTCATCATTTACTATGTAAATGTTTGTACTAACATACTTCGGTGAAGCCTTACCATTTAAATAATATATGAAGACATCGCACGGCTTGCTTCCTACAAAAGTGGTGTCTGGGCTTTGAAAGAGTTATTGTCCCATTTTTACAAGAACAAAACAAAACTAAGGCTCCTGTAATATATAATATTGATTAGATTTGGATTTCAACTTTTTTTTTTATTATGAATCACTATTTAATAACCGCTGACACGTTTGGGTGTTTTTAGAATATGGACAAGATTGAGCGTTCCGGAAAGGAAGACCCTTTTGCCTAATATGCAAACGTCTGAATGAGAAGAGTGGATACGATTGGGCGTTCATAAAAACAACACGCCTTGGCGCTATTTAGCAACTAGACATGTTTTGCAGTTCTGTGATGTATCACTACAAATCAGTTAAAGTCTGAAATGGGCAGATTTTGTACTGAATGTATTGATTTTAACTCTACCATTCTGAATGGGTATGAAATTTACTTAAATCTTATTGACAACGATCATAACCATACTTAACTGTCCTGATTTGTACTCGACCCTTATCCTGACCATACCGATAAGTCTGAATTCGTACTCGACCAGGCTGAAACAGTCTTAACCCATTATCGACCTGTACTTAACCTATTATTGACCTGTTTTCAATATCTTAACAATACTCGATCAAAAGTCTTTAAGGTCTGAACGATACCCAACTAAAATCAGATTCATACTCGATCAAAGTCTAAACCTTATTTGACCAATAAACCCATACTTTATCAATCTTGAATATATAACTATAATTTATTGAACGCTAAAACTACCTGTTTTTACATTGAGTTACTAATATTACATGAATCTGTGTGATTTTTTGATCAGGCAAAGCACGTTCTTATATTATACTTCTTGGTCCAATTTCTATCCAAGGTAAACAAATCTTGTTAAATAATAGACTCTAAAAAGAAGAAATACAGATTAAGAATAAGTCGCGGATTGCTAAGACTTAGTCGAGTATGGTTCAGACTTGGTCTAGTACGGTTCAGACTTGCTCGAGTATGGTTAAGACTTGAGGCGATGTTGATTCTGACTCTTTAAAGTGGTTAAGAACTGGTTAAGCACAGAATGAGAACATATTCAGACCTTTTAGTATGGTTAAGACTATAGTCCAGTTATATCAAGTAAAATTCAGACCAATTCAAAATGGTCGAGTAAAAAGCAGTACAGTCCAGTCCAAAAACTTCCCATTTCAGACTTTCACTGGTTTGTAGTGCATATAGATCCGTTTGGGGGGATCGGACACGTTTGGGGGAATCGGACACGTTTGGGTGGATCGACTAACTTCTGTGTGGTACACATATATAGAATTTAACAAAAAACTGAGCAAGTTAATGCAAGCAAGAAGACCGATAGTTTTAATTTAAGATGTCAGGTAGCTTTTGTTCATGTTAGGTTGCTATTGGATTGTTTTATACCCCAAAAACTCTTTATTCATACTACCAACGGCTGTGCTTCAGGGTAGATTTATTATGCAACGTCATATACGGTACAGGAAGAAAACATTAGTAAGCACCAACCATTCATTTTGTGTTTTTGGAGCGTATTCTTTTTTTCTAGGAAAAATATTGTTGATGAATAGCCAATAAACAAACTTTTATTAAAAAAAAAAATCTAGAACAATAAATTTACTAAGATATCAGTTTTGTTTATTTTCTTTATTCAAACTAACTTTAAACAACTGAAACAAACTTTCTTTTTACTTCTCTTCTTAAACAGAGAAATGATTTGTCAATGGTTGGGTCCGCTGACACCATTTAAAACTTCTGTTTGATATGCATGCACGGAAGAAAGCTGCAAAAACAGAGAAAAGATAATTTTAGAAATTCTTCCAGGCTTCATTTTTGAATTTTCTCTGGAAAAGCGGTTTAATGCAGTAAGGTACCTCTTCCTGAATACTGTCTGTGTCCCCTTTAGGAAATTTTGCATTGAAAACAGATATTTGGCAGTCATTTTTACTTTATCAACAACTAATTTCGACTAAAGGCGTTCATGTACATTGATATGGTGTAATAACTCTTTTTTTATTGCTGACACATTGATTAATTAATTTTAATTGTTTTTTTTTGTTTGCTGAGTTTCTGTCTGATTTCGCATACCTGCCATTTCAAGTTTTTTATTTATTTGTGTACGTGCTCCTCCAGTAGTATTTTTTTTATTTAAAAGGATAGAAACGTGGCCTTAAAATAGCCGTTACTTCAAACTTTGTAGGAAAGACGAAACCTCTCCTTTCTATTCACACTTGGAACAAATGTGTTTTTCAAGTAAAAGGTACACTTTTGGTAAAATGTGGCCTAAAATTTTAACTTTATAAAATATAAAAGACCACAATTTAGTTCTTAAATTGGTAATTTTTTTTTTCGAAAGTCTTAATGCAAGGTAAAACAATCTTATAATATAGGCTCCAATGTC